CTCTAGAGCAATGCAAGATTAGAAAAGGCAACAGGCAGGCATGACTAAGGTCAGCTCTGGTTATTTCATCATAGAATACAAATTTAAAAAAATAAAGAGAAAAATATTTCCAGTGGTAGAGATCTTACTGATGCTCTTGTTATTATTTTAGCCAAAGTTTTACATGAATTTAAAGAAGACAGTAAGAAGTGAAGAGGGGATGTGGAGAGGGAAAAGGAATGAGAGTAGGTATTGGAAGGAAGGCATGCTGATCTACTTCTGAAAATCAGCCAATGAAGAACCCTACGACAGTAATTCTACTCAAGAGAGAGAATAAGGAGAGAGGGCTTTAGAACTATCTCCTGAAGTGGGGATTCATAACTAAGAGTAGAATTTAATGGTCTCACCTCAATCCAACCAGCATATGGGGGTCAACTAAGGATTTGTTTTTAACTTAAAAAAAAAAAAAAAAAGACCATTTCCCTTCCTTTAAAAAGCATTTTGCATTTTTACTGATTATAGAATTCATACAAACTATAACAGGAAGTTTAGAAAATCCAGTAAAGCATACTGGACTGGTATAATTTTAACAAGTAGAAATGCCATTCCTAACATTTGGGTGACTCAGTATTTTTCTACACATAAAATGGACAAATTGGATCATAACATACAAACTGTTTTATGATCTGCTTATTACACTCATGCCATGAATTCCCATGTGATCCATCATTGTTTTATGTAATGATTTTCATATATATTATTTTACCAAATTCTTATTATAGTTATAATTTTTCATTATATCTTTGTACAACTCTATGGTTACAAGGAATAGTAAGTAAATTCTGAGAAGTGGAATGACTAGACAAATCATTTAAATTTTTGTTTTTGTTTCTATTTTCTCCATTTTTAAAATATCCAGGAACTTTTATTCTGTTCTGAGAAAAATAGCATTTTCTACAAATGTCCAAAGTTAGAAAACAACGGTATAAAATAATTATCATGAAATAATTCTGTTCAGGACTCTGATATCACCACAGTTAGGCACTCAACCTGAAAGGCTGGCTGTTCAAAGACATCGACGGCTCTGAGGGAAACAGACCTCGTGATTTGCTCCCGTAAAGATTACAGTTTAAGAAACCTTCTGGGGCTTACTTTGTCACAACAATGATATATACTATGACAATTTTCTTCCAAGGAGTCTTGGTGGCTCAAACTTTGGTTAAGTGCTAGGCTGTTTACTGAAAGGTTGATAGTTTGAACTCACCCAGTGGCTCTGTTGAAGAAAAACCTGGCATTCTACTTCTATAAAGATTGTTGTTGTTGCTGTTGTTAAGTGCTGTTGAGTCGGTTCTGACTCATAGCAACTCTTTATAGGTTGCACATAATTTATGAGAACAGAAAGCCTCATCTTTCTCCCAAAGAGCGACTGGTAGGCTTGAACTTGTGGTTCATAATAACAGTGCTCTATTATGATTGGCTTTAGTGGTTGAGTCATTCATGAAAAACTATTGACCATGAGCTTTTGTGGCCTACTAAAAATAAAGTGAATTTTCACTAGCAATAGCAGTATACAAATTTTAACTACACCAATGAGCTGGATGGCAAAATTGGTTTGACCCACAAGATCAGCAGTTCAAACTCACCAGCTGCTCCTCGGACACCCTTTACAGGGTTGTTATAGTCAAAACCAACTCGAGGGTACTTAGCAACAATAACAATCTATGCACTGGAGTGCACACACAAGGTCATCAGTTCAAACCCACCAGATGTTACTAGGAAACCCTGTACAGGGTCACCATGAGTAGGAATTGACTCGACGGCACGTAACATCAACAGCTATAATTACATGTATATCTCCTGTCTGTAATTTGTGCTAGTATCTGTGCAATGTACCTGCATATAGTGTAATGAACTATTCTGACAGCTAAGTAAATACTGCTCCACAATCAGTTGAAAACATGAAATAAATTAAATGGTATGTTTGCAGAAAGATATGCACATGTTTATATACGTAGTTTGTAGCTTGTTTCAAACAGTGGTGAGTTAAAATTTCATTTAAAAATGTGCTTTTTGGTGATTGTTCTTTATGGAATTAAGACCTGATTATTCTAATGAAGCTTCGCAAAGGAAGATGCTGTTCACCCCAAATGCACTTTGTGAGATGGAAAGTTTACACCAGAGAACCATCCTGCTTGCTTCTTCACCTGACTGAGTCCGTTCAGTACATGACCTCTCTGCTAAAGGTTTCAGTTACTCATAGTTAGGCAAGGCAAGCACAAAGACCTAAAATAAGTACCTTAGAATTCATGTTCCAGCAAAGACAGGGGCTTCATCCCAGTTAGCAAATTTCAAGAGACATTTAGTGAGGGTGGGGTGGGAAGGTAGGTGCATCATTATAGCCACATGTCTGCAGAGTCTGTGGTTGGAATGAATCATTTTTGGTCCTGCTCCAAGGAAATCCTTTACTGTGGCTGGTGTTAAAACAGTGACGGTGGCAGGGCAACTCACATTAACAACAGTCCATCCTACAGCTGGCAACCTGGATTATCACCAACAGCCCTGTCCATTGCTTATATTCTTGTCTGTTTCTAAACGTACTACTGAGTGTCGTGATGTTGCATTTTCCAATGGTATGTTTTAAAATTAAACCACGATCAAACATAAAGTTCACATTTCAGTGATCTCCCCTGCCCCCACTATCAGCTACTAGATTCTAGTTCGTGTATAAACCGTGTTGTATTTTCATTTATCCAGAGAGAATTTCATTAGAACTGACTGGCATGTGCAGACAAGAAACCACAGTGAGATTTGGGGTTTGGAAGGCTGTGAAGGACAAGAAGCAAGCCACAGAGCACAGAGCTGACTCTGCAGGCCAGGACCCTGTCTGGCCATGTATCCTCCATCAAGTGTGGGAGCTGACTGTGTGTGGGGTTGAGAGGGGAGGGGGCGAGGCACACCAGGAAACAGAAAATGCAAACAACCACCCAGTAATGCAAGATCTGCCAGCACCCCTTCCCAGTGCTTCTAATCCATCCAACTGTAGACATATAGCCAAGCACAAGTTAGAACCGGTTTGGACATGATGGTCTCCCTAAAGCAAAGACTTTTCTGCAAAATCTCCAACAAGCATGCCAACATCTGTTTTCCAAGAGGGCTGAGGCACAGACTAGAAATTGGCAGGAAAGCAATCCCTCATGAATTAATCCATGTAGGCAAAAGGTCATTCTGACAGTGCATTTCCTCTATGCCCTCTTTCCTTCAGAGTCCACCAAGGGTTACATTAAAAGAACATTGGCTGTTTCCTACTGCTGAGGTTGAGGTGAGCAGAATGCTTGTCAATGAGTAATCACTCCTAACTGTTACCATACATCCCAGACAGCCCCATGCCCTTAAAGCCAGATAGCATGAAGGAAGACAGTTCGAAAGAATGGACTTTAATACGGCACAAAGATATAGTCATCATCAAACTGTTCTGAATCAGAGCTGGCTGAGCAAGGGTGTTTACGCCAATTCTAAATAACTATGTTGAAGCAACCTCCAGCTGCTCCAGACCAACAACAAATGGTTAAATATTAGACAGTTTTAACACACATACACACACAAAGAAAACAAAACAAAACAAATCTATCCTACACATTCATTTAAAAACATACAAAACTCTCCCACATTCAAATGTCAAGTACAGACATTTTGAATTATTCATAATTTAAGTCAGATATACGACGGATTTTCAGCACCCTATAAAATGGTGGTTGCTGTTGTTGTTAAGCGCCATCAAGTCAGTTCTGACCCATAGCAATCCTGTATAGGGTTTCCAGAGAGCTGCTGGTGAGCTTGAACCACCAACCTTACAGTTCAAATGGCTTTGCAGCCTGGCGCATTAACATACAGTGCCACAGCAGGACTAGATGTCTCTAAATGTTCTCTAAATGTTCTCGTCTTCCCACTATCCCGAGTCTAGAGTCCAGGATTGCACACATTACAGAGGGGACACTAGGCTTTGCAGGGAGACCTCTTGTAGCCACCTTCCTCAGAGTGAGAGTTTTATGTACTAGGAGGCTTTGGAAAGTACATGGAAAAATGGAATGAAAAGATGATGGAATTTTTTTCCACCAACCCTTTGAAGCCCCCTCATAATTGTTGGTTTCTTAACTGCTGCCAGAAATAAAAGAAGTTTGATCCTGAGGCTTTCAAATGCTGGGGAATACTGTTAAGTGCCACACCTCATCACTGAAAGAAAGGAAGAAATCAAAGGAGTCATGTGTGACATGAAGACGTATACAGAGGTGGGGAACCTTTTTTTCTGCCAAGGGCCATTTGGATAGCTATAACATCACTCATGGACCATACAAAACATCAACTTAAAAATCAGCCACCTCTATTTATTCAAGCATTTAATTGCTCAATTCCAACTCACAGTGACCCTGCATAGGCAGGGTTTCTGACTCACTCCTAATGTGATGGCTGGAACTGTGGTTGCCTTGGCAGGGCCAGACCAAATGATTTCACGGGTCTTATATGGCCCGCGGGCTGGATGTTCCCCACCCCTGATGCATATGGAGGATTTCTGCAGGTAATGAAACTGCTGTAACACTGTGAAGGAGGCCTGATGTGGCGCTGTGGGTTAACGTGCTGGACTGTAAAGTCGGTTTGAACCAAAAGGTCGTCTGGTGAAGCTCAACAGTCGCTCCTTGAAAACCCTACACAGGAGTGCTATGGGTCAGAACCGACTCGATGGTACTTTAACAACAACAACAACACAGCTGAAGTAGGAGCCTTGGCGGCTCAATCGTTAAATCAAAAGGTCAGCGGTTTTAATTCACAATGTTTGTCTCTGTGAGACAAACATTGGAAACACGATGGGTCGGTTCTATTCTGCTCTGTAGGGTCGCTATCAAGCCAAATGGATTCCACGGCAACAGGTGAGGTCAGATACAGTTGAAGCGTGGTGAGCATCCCATGCTGGCTGTTTGAAAACCATCACCAGAACTGTTAGAAGTGTGTCTCACTTTTGTACTTACCTGACCATGGGGTGGGAGGGCGGCGTAAGCCATGGGCTGATTCATCACTCCTTTCTGTTTCATGAGCAGCATGCGTTTCTGGTCCTCGCTCAGGTGTGCCCTGGGAGCCTGGAGGTGTGGTGGGGGAGGCTGTTGCTGTTGTTGCTGTTGCTGCTGCTGGAGATAGGGCATCAAGGGGTTTTTGTTGGGGTTGGCCATTGGTGGTGTCATTCTCTGACTCAAGTCTGCATTAAAATGGGTCAGAGGCTTAGTGTTGCCATAAGTAAGAATATTGTGCTGTTTGTTTAAAGAGTTTGTACCCAAGTTACTTGGCTGCTGATTGAGCATATTCATGTGATTCTGAGGGAGGTAGTTATTCATTGTCGTCTTCTGCAGGTTGTTTGCCATTGAAGGCACTATAGGGTTTTGGTTGTTAAAGGCTTGAGGGTACATCATTGGGCTATTTGGTTTTTCTGCAGTAAAGGCCGCTCCATATGGACTGGATGGAGGCCCTAAGGGAGACCAACTTGAAGTCTGATTTGAGTGTTGCTGCTGCTGCTGCTGCTGCTGCTGCTGCTGCTGCTGCTGCTGCTGCTGCTTCTGCTGCATAAGTTTGGCCCTTTGCTGTTGCTGTGCAGCCATCTGCTTGAGCTGCTCGGCTGGAGACATGTCGGAGCTGGGTACAGCCACAGAACCCGATCCCGAACCTGCCACCGTCACTGCCGCTGGATTTAGAAGATAGCCGCTTCCAGGCCGTGGTGGGGCTTGGCCTGGAGTGTGGGCTTGGTTTGGAGTTTGAGGGGAATGGACGGCACAGTTTGCTGGTGAGCTGGTGGGGTTTGGAGCTGCGGGAGTGTTGGCAACAGATGGTAAACTAGGAGCCGTAGAGACAGCAGAAAAAGGAGGACCAGAAGATGAAGGCCTTGTTTGGGGAGATCCCATGGAGACATGTGCAAAAGGAGAGTGGGAGGGGTCACTCTTCACACTTACACTGTCCTGGGACAGTGGCGTCTCAGTAGCTGGCCGAGAGAACTCTGGCTCCTTCTTCTCTTCAAAGTCTTCGTTGAACAAGTCCTGTATGTCATCTTCAGGAACTGTGTTAGCCAGTTCATCTATTAATTCTTGCCACTCCTGATCATTCAGGTTAATGTCTGAGAACAGTTTGTTCTGGTTTGAAAGAGATGTTTCTGATGTGTCTATGCAAGTAGGGTCATCTAGAGGTTCTTGTTTGAGGTCCTTGCTCTGCAAGATGGGGAAACTATCTTCCAAGTCACTGCAGCCATTTACAGGAAGTTTAATCTCTGGGAGTCTACCATTCTTACCCAGATCCTCTAGAAGCCCAGGAGTGTGAGTTCCACTGTTCTGCAAGGACAAAGAAGGTTTCAGGTCAAGTTGGTGAAGAGGAGAAGCTGAAGGCAGTGGCATGTTGTTGGGCAAACTGTTGATGGTTTCCATTCCAGCAGGAATGTCCTTTCGGATTCGCTTACTAGTTGGAGAAAAACTCCCATCACAAGCACCATTCTGCTGGTCTCCATTAAGAGGTGATCGGGCTCCTTCCAACTTCCTTTTCACAGTCTCTTGTAGCTGCAAAAGACAAAGGAAGAAAGATAACTATACCTCTAAGTCACGTTTACTCTTTAAGCATCCCGATGTGCATTGCTATGAACTAGGTTTCTTGATGGGTTAAACACACAGGTAAGAAATGGTATTTCTAATTTAAAAATCAGTCAAGATTTCAATGCAAATTCCATGGGAAAGGGAAATCACACAGGGCTAAGACACAGAAAACAAAAGAACAAAGGAAAGGAGACAGTTAAGGGCAAGTACTCTTCTCGCAGAGAAAAATAACCTGATGTTTTTTTCCAAATGAGTGCTAGACATGAAACTTGGACCCAAATGAATCATATTGAAGGAAGATGTTAATACCTATTTTAAACTCTTTTCACATCTTAATTGAGAATACCAAGGAATTAAATCAGCAATATTTTAAAGACCATAATTTCAAAAATGAGGAATGTTTACAATGTGGAATTTAACACATTTACTGAAAGCATCGAAATGACGAGTATAGTAATATTAAATGTCAACCAAAACTTTGTTTCAGTTCCTTTAACAAAACTATTGTGTTTACTTGACCTCTCAACACCTTTTTAGACAATACCACACTCTCTTCTAAAATACCCTTCTACTGGCTTCTTCTGGATTTCCTCCTTTTTCTCCAGTTGCTCTTTTTTGGTGTTTCATGTGTACCACTTTGTTCCTCTTACATGACAGGTTTCCTCCATGTTCTTTCTTAGACGCCCCCCTGCATGCTACTTATGCTGGTGGCCATATGCCACTGAGTCGGTTCTGACTCATAGTGACCCTGTATAGGGTTTCCAAAGCAGTAAATCCTGACAAGAGCATAAACCTCATCTGTTTCCTGCAGAGCAGCTGGTGGATTTGAACTGCTGATCTCACAGTTCACAGCCCAATGCATAACCCACTACATCACCAGATCTCCTTACTCAACACATTAGCCTAGATGACTTCTTTCCGACAGCTTCAAATATCTTCTCTAGGCTGATAACCTCAAAACAACGTAGCAGATCCAATCTTCTCTGCTGACCTTACTAACACCAAGGTTATCTTCTTGGGTATTTCACAGACACCTAGAGAACGTTCTATCTCAACGCTGAACGATCATCTTTTACTACTCAAACATGATCTTCCTTCAGTGCTCACCACCTCAGTGTTTACCCAGTTATCCAATTGTTAACAAAATGGGGGAAAAAAAAGAAAGAAAAGGAGCATTTTTCTTGAAAAATTCCACAATATCAATTCCCAAATCCCATGGATTGTACCTCCAAAATATCACTTAGTGAAACCCACTCATCTTTCTCCTGGTTTAGCACTGTAGGATAAAGCACAGGATTGCAAAGTCAACTTGAAAGACATGGTCGGCAGTTCAAACCCAGCTGCAGTTCCTTGGAAACCATATACAGGGTCACTAGGGCTAGGAACAGACTTGACGGCAAGTAACAACAATAAAAACTATCTCCATCCTCACTGCCACTGTTGTTGTTGTTGTTAAGTGCTGTCGAGTTGGTTTCGACCCATAGTGATCCTGGATACGGTTTCCAAGGAGTGGCTGGTAAGCTAGAACCGCTAACTTTGTGATTCAAACCAACTTTGCAGTCCAGCTTATGAACCCACAGCACCACAATCCTTGCTAAACTGTTTTTAACAGCTTCCTAACTGGTCTCCTTGGTTATCTCCATGTATCCCTCCATGCCTTTCCCTCTTGACTACTCATGGTTTTGCTATTAGCCAACTACTTTCTACACTGTCAGCTTTTCATCAACATATATTGTCCTTCCCTTCCCATTTATGACCATGCTATGATTTCAACTGTCTTTATAGTAAAATTCAAGCTGGGCCTTCTTCACCTGACTCCTCCATATGCCTCTTCGCAGCAACACCTTCTTATCCCCATGTTCTATGAACTCTCCTGAAACTCAGTTCCTTATATGTGTCATCCTTCCTGCTGCCTCAGGGGCTTTGTAGATGTTGTTTTCTTTTCTTGGAACATACTCTTAACCCCTCCCTATCCTTCTCCTGGTTAATTACTACTCATTTTTCAGGTCAGAGCTTAAGTTTCAGTTCCTCTAGGAAGTCTTCTCTTACATGCCTTCCCCACTCTGAACTCCACTGTTCTTGAACTACCTGTACTGGGTTGGATATCCTAGAATATGTATTTCCAAACAACCTATACATCCTTATCATAGCTTTTGTCATACTTGAGGGGCAATTGCTAAACATGTTTATTGTTGTTAAGTGCCATCGGATCCATTCTGACTCATAGTGACCCTGTATAGGGTTTCCAAGGAGTGGCTGATGGGTTTGAACCATTGACCTTGTGGCTAGCTATCCAGTGCTTATACTACAGCACACCATACCAGGACTTCTAATGCCTGGTTGTTGTTGTTGGTAAGTATTGTCGAGTTGGTTCTGACTCAAAACGACCCTGTGCAGGGTTTGAAGAGCGGCTGGTGAGTTTGAACCACTGACCTTGAGGTTCAAACTGACCTTTCAGTCCAGAACAGCAGCACACATGGACTCCAAATGCCCGTTTAGCACACTCCAAAAAGGTAGGGATCATTGCTGACTTGCATACTGTGTTTCTACAGGACTATTCCCTGGTGTCCTGGTTCATAGCAGTGATCAATAAATATCTGCAAATTGAATCTGTTGCTTAATTCATAGTGACTGAAAAAGATGAGTTCATGTCAGAGCAGGAGGCAGCCCCATTGACCATAAGACTTCCTGACTTTGACACTTTATGTTCTTAGTAATGGGAATGGTTACTCATGCTCTAGAGAGTGTTATGCCCAATTAATGGAACTCATTTAATAAGTGAGGCACTGTAAGATAAGCATTGGACTGAAAACCACAAGGTCGGTGGTTCAAACCTACCAGCTGCTTCTCAGAAACCCTGTAGAGGGTCGCTATGAGTTGGAATCGACTCAATGGCATTTAACAACAATGTTTAGGAAGTCCAGTTAAGAAAGACCTTGTTAATCTATGAATCTATTAACTATAGCAATTCATCTATCTGTCCCATTTCTTTCTACCAAAAAGGACCATTGCATGGGACTTTGGTGAAAGTGCTTGGCATAGAGTAGGCACTAGGGAAATGTTTGCTGAACAGCAAAGGGAAAACTAGATTGCATTAGATTTTCAGTAGGGTTTCAGTAACTTTACACAGTTGAAGGCAGAAGGCAGAATTCAGCACAGGCCTAGCCCTATAACTTCCATTTGGCACTCTTCTACCATTGGCAAACTGACCGTATATCACAGAATCAATGAAATTGGATTCTCTCTGACTCCTAGACCTGCACTCATACCTAGAACTGCCAAGTCTCTAAAGAAGCCCCATGTATAATAAAACCAATTTGGGATGAGATAGTGAATTCAAAGAAGTGCCACTTTTTTGTTAGGTGCTTTTTCATACACAGAGAATTTCATTTTAAAAGTAAAGCAGAGTAGAAAGAGTTCTTGAGTAAAAATCTCGTTTAACCCCTGCTCCTACATCTTATCATTTTAATTACAATACCAAATCTGGTACTGCAGTCACTTGCTAGAGGCTCCTGAACTGCGTTAGACAACGTTGTATAGTAATATAAAAACAGGAGCACATGCCCAGAGTTAGAAGGACCAGTACTGATCCTACAGCACCACACCAGGAGACCCACCTAATAGGTGCTTTGTAGAACTGTTGCCTTACTGTTACGGATTTAACTGTGTTCTCCCTCCCCCCAAAAATGGATTGGAATCCTAACATCTATAGCTATGGATGTAATCCTATCTAGGAGTAGGCTTTCTGTTATGCTAATAAGTCCATATCAGTTAAGATGGATTTGAAACCTAATCACTTGTGAGATATAAAAAGAGCAGATCAGACCCAGAGACAAGCAAGCACAAACTAGGGAAGACAGAAAAATACATGTGAGGATCACAAAGTGATCCTCAGGAGGAGCTAAAAAAGAAAAAGAGGGCTTTTCCTTAGAATTTGGACTTCCACCTTCCTAAAGGTCGAGAAAATCATGTTATGTCCTTTAAATCTACCCACGTGTGGTATAGGTGGTATAGCAGCACTGAGATATTTCGATTTTAGATCCCTTCTGTCTACCTCACCATTATGGAAAGTCACATGAAGGCAGGGTCACCAGTGGGACCCTGTTGTTGCCAAGTGCCATCAAGTTGGTTCTGATTCATAGTGACGCTGTATTAGGTTTCTGAAAAGTGGGTATGAACCATCAGCCTTATGGTTTGCAGTCAAGTGCTTATCCTACAGCACCATACCAGGACTCCAATAGATCACAATTGTTGTTGTTGTTGTTAAGTGCCGATGAGTTGGTTTTGACTCATAGCAACCCTGTATAGGGTTTCCAAGGAGTTGCTGGTGAGTTTGAACTGCTGACCTCATGGTTCAAATCGACTTTGCGATACAGTGCTTTATCCCACAGCACCATACCAGAACTCCCATAGATCACAATAGGCATGCAATAAATACAAAGGGCTTCAAAAATTTCTTCAAAAAGTTTGTGGAAAAACGAGAGCCCCTCGTCCTTGCTGAGTGCATTTATTTAACCTCTCCCCAACTTTAACTTTTTTATCTGTAAAATAAGTAATAATACTGTGGTGCTGTGGGGTAAGTGCAGGACTGCAAGGTCAGTTTGGACTAACCACAAGGTTAATTCCAACTCACCAGTAGCTCCTCAGAAACCCTGTTAAGGTCACTATGAGTTGGAACTGACTAGATGGCACTTAACAACAACAACAACAGTTCAGAGTGTGACTGTGGGGATGCAGTTAAATAAAAGAATACAGAAAACCTCTAGCTTCATGCCTACACCAGTAAGCTCATGCTAACCCTGAACTATTATTACTTTGAAAGATTAGTGATACATGTAGTCTCCACTGCTCCTAGATCTTCCACATACAAGTAGGTAGAATGGTAATATTTCCGTTCCCTAGCCGGCAAAGCCATAATGTTATCCAAGCATCTGGTGTAGCTTTTAAAATATGAACAACAAAAATCA